TTAGTATCTCCACAGAGTAACTGTAATCTTGAATCACAATAATAAATCGAAAAATCGTATAACATTATCGATATAATACCGATTACGATAAAATCTATTATCGCGTGCGTCAGTGACTTGTGTCACGGACCTTTTATTTCGTAATACACTTGTGGTGGCCATTTTTATTGTTAGGTCATTGTAGACTGGCCGAGTGACACTATGGGAAATGTACACAGCCTAAAAGCAGAAAAACGCGTATTTTTTCATTTAAGCTTATAGAGACCTAGTTTTGGTATTTTGCCTAATTTAATATACCAAGAAACAATAACATTACTTATTTCACGTGCTTTATCAAGAAATAACATAAATTTTAAACTAGTAAAATATATTTTTCAATGACACATTACTTACTAAATAACTTCTTTATTATCTACCAGCAGCACCAACAATTAATTAATAGCTTAAATTTCCTATTCTGTACTAGCTTGCCACCCGCAGTTTTATCCGTGTCTACTACGCTTATATAGCGTACTCGAGCAATGGAATCAAATGTAGATTGTATTTTTTCTCAAAGTTCAAACTGTTTCCATGCTGTTTTTTATTTCATTATTTTTATACACAAAAGTATAGTGGTGGACCAAGTGTCTAACGAATTCTCTGCCAGTAAATCGACGGCGGTACAGAGAGTGCTCTGGGAGGCGCCCCACAATCGGTTTCGTGGTTTGAAGGAAAAACGTGACAGAAAGTCAGTTAATTTTTCCCTATAAAAATTTTAACAACACAAACCTAACGAAACTCTGTAATTCTGTAAGGCAAAAAATAATACCCAAAACCGCTGGTTTATTTTCTATTACTGTCATTTAGTTTTAAGCTAGTTTAATTAAGCATTCCTATTTTTATTACTTTCCTTCAATGAACAGACTACTGGGCAAACTGCAGAATATTGAATTTCTTGGTTTAATTGTATGTATATTGGAATTGATAGATTTAGAAAAAAATATATAATTGATAGTAAAAATAGATAATAGAAAAAAAAATTGACTAGATTTAGACTTATCTGTTTAAGCGAATGAGGATTTGAATTGTAAAGCTTTTTTTAACCGTTAAACAAAACATTTGTATAATATGAAATTAACAATATTTAAACTCCTAATCTCAAGTTGTATAGAATCGAAATTAGCTTCACGACAATTTGTCATTGAGAAAGTAAACATCGGCTTTTGTATTATTAAGAGTATGGGAGATTTACGGCTCTGAGTTCAATACTACAAATTTATCGTGCCTTATCACGAGGTAATGGAATTTGTGGGTTTATTGTGGGGTCGGGTCGGGAGACCGAGGGCGATCACCTCTCGCACTGACCTCTCACTCAATCAAGTGTTATATGTAAATACAGGTCATTCCTGTATTTGATTTCTATTTATTTTGGAATTACAATAATTGTTGGATCTGAACTCATCTTATGCACTGTTCGACAATGTCTCCAATATTTTACTCATTTTAATTCTAGAATCATTTTATTATTATATTCTGAAGACTTACTATTATTTTTTAACTTTCCGAAATATGTGTATAACGACTATTCTAGTCTAGATTAACTTTACGGCTACGGCCTAATTAGACGAAGTTGAAGTTGTTTCACAGTAACTAATGTCTATTAGAGGTCGCTTCCAGAATGAGAGACTATCAAACAACATGAGCATACTGCCCACCTTATGATGAGTGATCATCTTCGCTTATGGACTTCAGTAATGCAATCTAAGTGGGGTTTTGCCCCTACTCCGCGGCAGACATAGTCCTCGGCGGTACGTAGCAGTCAGAGCACTCGCTNACGAAGTTGAAGTTGTTTCACAGTAACTAATGTCTATTAGAGGTCGCTTCCAGAATGAGAGACTATCAAACAACATGAGCATACTGCCCACCTTATGATGAGTGATCATCTTCGCTTATGGACTTCAGTAATGCAATCTAAGTGGGGTTTTGCCCCTACTCCGCGGCAGACATAGTCCTCGGCGGTACGTAGCAGTCAGAGCACTCGCTCTTCACAAACTTCGTCTGAAAAACGATCCGCATCACCATGTGAAGCCACCATCTAGTTTGTGATATGAGATCAAAGTCTCAAGCTCTCAATATTACAAATACACACACAAAATGTAAAATGTACGAACGCGTATATTACGACACAGCGCTCGAGAGCAATGGGCCAACTATATACATACATACACTCGTACATACAGATACACAAAAGTACGTCCCATAAAAATACCGGTGCACAGTTGAGGTCATTAATCGACACCATAAGCACACCATAAGTAAAGCGTTATCTAAAGTTTGTTAAAGGTTACTCCATGCCAACCTAGTGCGCTGTCACAGTCGTGAGCGGAGCGAAGAGAGATAGCGTATTTTTATTTATTATTGCGCACGTGGCTTAACGAGGTATTGACTGGTTATGTAAGCCAACAAATATGTATACTGTCTCCTACTCGAGATATGAGATAGAAGTCTTAGTTCAATAGCAGACGTTGACTGATGATGACTGATGGATGATGGTTTTCCAACTAGAACGCAAAATTATATCGTGGCAGAAATAGGCAGGATGGTACATATCTGTGCGACAATATTTGTACAAAATATCACCTAATAGCTGCTTACCTAAACAACTACGTGGTTATTGCGCAAACATCGTTCTTGTCATTAATAATGTTAATGTCCTCTCGATAACCTGACAATCATGAAAACTCTTCGACGACACGACGAACCCTGTTTGAGCTTGACAACATCGTATTCGCCATCACGTCGCTCGTGAGTGTCGCCTCTGCATTAGCTCTGCTCTGAGCGCGCCACAGCCCACAGTAACGCTAGATATTCAGTCCGAGATAACGGTGCCCATCGAGCCTCGCCCGATTTAGATATTTAATTAGATTATTTCACTTCTGCCCACAAAATCACTTTTATTCTACTCGACGTCACTTTTATCATTTCAAAGTAATTGGATCATAATTTTGATTATTATCGTAGAGTTGAATAATTTGTAAGTCTATTTCAGTTAAAGTTAGTTCTTTGTGTTTTTACTGATAGCGGGGAGATGTGGAAGGTAAATACGATGTTTTCAAACTGTCCCTGAAGTTACGGATTATCTTCAACTTATTTTACCTTTGGAAATAAATAAAGCTGTGCCTCGTGGTTCAACAGAGTGCTGGTCGACAAGCTTAGCAGCTTAATATAATAGCCTTATACTTAATAGAGTAGCTAGAGGATATAGCACGACTGATCAATATTCTTGCTTACTTGGTGTGAAACAGAAATATCTAGAGCTCAGCACAGAAAAATATTACACCTTTCTTCTTTCTCACACAAAAAACTATAAATAACAAGTCACGGGCGGACATAACTACTTACGTACAATTAATATGCCGTAAGTCATTTTAAAATTAAAAGGAGTTTAAGTTCGAAAGTATGGCTCGAGGCGCAGAAGACGAGTAGCCTCCACCCGCAGCCGCTGCTTAGCAACCACACGACTCTATTCATAGCAATTACGTTTTGGTAATAACGTCAATTAACCAGTATTCAAATAGATTTATTTGTTCGTAAAACTAGTAGTTTATCAAAGTTTCCTTTTAATGGATAACAATTGAAATTGAATTTATTGTAACGACAATTGAGGCCACAAGACTGTCCTCATTACATGAACAATCACTTAGAGTTTTACACTTTACATTATCAACGAAACGAACGGAGTCGAGATTATGATTCAGATACATATTAGTAGATCCAGATAAAGGTCGATATACATATTATTATGCTGACATTTATCAAGAAAGGACACTTTAGCGGGGCGACACTTGTGTGACTTTTTAAATAATATTAATAATGCAAAAAGGCAGTCAAGCAGAGTATGCATAGGTCGTAATGAATCTGTATATAGATAATACTTATATACTTTCTTACTCATTTAAAGATACGCAATTAAAACATTTGAACAACCTATTCCTTTTGATTTCTCTGGATGGGTGAACGAGCTGTACATTTATTGAAGCGTTGGGTGCCGGGGCCTACAGACACAGATCAGCACGCGGTGATCATCATTCACCACTTGACCATAGAGACTGCAGTCTCTGTGGTATTGTATAAACGAATTTCTCACTTATAAAATTTACTCCGTAGACATTACTCCTTGGCGGTAGAAAAAGGCAAGATGGTTGGAGAGTCGTGCGAGGACGCGCTGAAAATATTTGTTTGCATTAATTTCGCTTCACGTCTAGCCGATGCTTCCTACCTCCCCACTACTGTACGTCATGGGTCGCACTCCGACAGTACGAGAGTACTCCGCCCAGCTCAGTATAGTAGTCAATATGATAATAATATACCCATTCCGACAGGAGCCCTCTTCTTCGATATAGCGAAGGCGTTCGACAAAGTCTGGCACAACGGTTTGATATACAAACTGTATAACATGGAAGTGCCAGACAGACTCGTGCTCATCATACGAGACTACTTGTCGAACCGTTCGTTCCGATATCGAGTCGAGGGAACGCGTTCCCGGCCCCGTCACGTCACAGCCGGAGTCCCGCAAGGCTCCGCCCTCTCCCCGTTACTATTTAGTTTGTATATCAATGATATACCCCGGTCTCCGGAGACCCATCTGGCGCTCTTCGCCGATGACACCGGCATCTACTACTCGTGTAGGAAGAAGGCGTTGCTTCATCGACGACTTCAGACCGCAGCTACCACCATGGGACAGTGGTTCCGGAAGTGGCGCATCGACATCAACCCCACGAAAAGCACAGCGGTGCTCTTCAAAAGGGGTCGCCCTCCGAACACCACGCTGAGCATCCCCCTCCCGACTAGGCGCGTCAACACCTCCGCCCCCGCCANGCTGCCAACATCGCCACAACATTAGCATATGTTAATTGTGACGGCTTCGAAGGGCTGGCTAATGTCGATAATAAATCGTACGCTTCCTCACCCATAATGGAAATTAATGTGGGTAATTTTAAATCGTCAGTCACTTTATTCACCAAAAAGTACATTTCCAATCTCTCAACATATGAGGACCAGTTTCCACTGTTTACCGCGAATTCTTTCAACTGTCCCACCGACATTATGTTCATATAATTTTAATTAGTCCAAACAAGAAACAAACAAGCCACAAATTGATTTTTTTTTTCCGCGTTCGCCACTAGTAAATAATAGACACGTACGTTGCGTTCACCGTTTATTGACACACTGAAGTGAATACTTACTTACAAACATAACAATTAGAATTCATTTTTTTAAATCAAAATACGAATTAAAATTCCCATATACAGGGACCAAGTACAAATAAAATGAATATCAAAACACTATGAGACAAAAAGCTATAAAAATAACGTAATAAATTAAAGAGAGATAATAAAAGAATAATAAATTAAGACAGAAAGCTGTAAAAATAACGTAATTAAATTAATTCGAAAGTAAGCCCGAACACTGCCTTCAGTTGCGATCCGCTGTACTGTGCGTTGCGATACACCATTTGCGTTAGCAACTCTAAATAAAACTGTCAAAATCTTTTACGCCTTCTTCTTTTTCTTTTAAAAAAAAAAACAAAAATTATGTTTGTCGGCCGACGATTTAAAACACTATTATGCTTTGGTGGCATCTTTGTTAACGAATAGTATAAATGCCAAGGGACACTTAATACTAAAACTAATTTAAACACAAACAATCTTAAAACTAAACAAAAAACTGAGCACTAAACAAAAACAGTATAATAATAACACATCAATGAAAACTTTTGTAGCCGCCCATACTCAAGACAGAGATAGCGACACGAACACGACACTAATGCTAGCGTGTGAGTGAGACACATTACCGCGTACCGAGAATTACCGAATTTATACGATGTCAAGAAAAGGGATGTCCAATATGCGTGTTTGAGGATGTTGTTTAATCGATTTTTTTTCAAATTGATTAAAATTTAAATAAAAATATATATTTATATTTCATTTTATAGGAGGTTTAAAATATTCACAAACAGGCCCTATTGTAGTAGTTGTTTATAAATAACTGATATTCAACTAAATCATGTCTTTCAACCAAGAAAATAAAGCGTTATTAGTTTTTTTTTTAAATTAAAGATGAGGTCTCGTTTCCTAACGATAACATTCAATAAGTTTGTAAATCTATTTCGTTCAGTATCTCATAAAAACAAAAATCAATAAATTCTAAATCGATAAAAATCGATTGCGATATTTGATTGAATAAAGGGACGATTGTGTTTACACAGAGTCAATCCCTAGCCTAGACCTCCGCCCCGCGCACGTCGGTCATGCCACCATTTGGTTCCTAAAAACGTTTGTGCGCAGCCTTNAAATTCTAAATCGATAAAAATCGATTGCGATATTTGATTGAATAAAGGGACGATTGTGTTTACACAGAGTCAATCCCTAGCCTAGACCTCCGCCCCGCGCACGTCGGTCATGCCACCATTTGGTTCCTAAAAACGTTTGTGCGCAGCCTTCTGCGCGAAGTTCGGACTCGCCAAGATACATCGGTCGTATTGTACATACGTCTGAAGCTAATAAAAGCGTATTAAAAAAAACAATTACAGACCGTCGGCTAGTTCAGGAACGTTTCCGGTGGTAAAGTCCCAGGCCTGCACGCGGTGCGAGGAGGCAGGCATGGTCTCCGAGATGATGCCGGCGTCGAGCAGCCCCGCCATGCCGCCCAGTCGCCGCGCACCCCCCATACCGCCCGGCCCGCCACCCTCTTCTTCCACCACCATCGCGTTCTGATGTGGACCATGTGAAATATGCGATTAAAATAAGGACAGTTTGAGGAGCGTCCGTAGCTTAATAGGTACATTCGTATCGATTAACGTGAACTACCGGTTTAAAACATACGGCAGGTACCACTCGAACAAGTCGCTGAAATTAAGTCTATCTATGGAGCTGCGGCTGCTACATGCTACAAAGTACTTCTGTACAATTAGCCCACAGAGTCTCTCGCCGGTTCTTCTCAGTGGGTCGCGTTTCCGATCCGGTGGTAGATTTTGCGAAGCACTGCTCTAGGGCTGCTAGGGCCAGTGTTAGCAACACTACCGGTTTGAGCCCCGTGAGCTCACCAACACGCCAAGGAGAAGCTGAAATAGCCTCTCAAGGCTATCAGCATAGGTAAAAAAAAACTTTTGTTCGTCATCATTACAAAGGTTATTTTAAATACTCTTTACTGCAAGTACTGATTAATCATTATTAAACTACAAAGTAACATTTTACAAACGCTGACAGTTTATATTACTATTTTTATTTTTATTTTAATCGAATAATACGAGTATATGACTTCTTTTACGAAAGAGGGTGAGAGAATCTTAAATGCTAATAGTCTGTCTGGTTAATATCTACGAATTCATTTCCACTTCCTCATTTTCTGTTTGCAGTATCTTCGTCTTATTTTCAAATTAAATACTGCAAGTGATTTTAATTTTTTTTTGCAAACCGCAGGCATTTCGTGTCAGCCGTAAGTTTGTAAAAACATACGCAATAAGTATAAATAGATATAATATATTACCTGGGCTAAAATTATCGGTTGCAAATATTCGTGGATTCTCGGCAGCCTCTGCGTCGGAGCGTTCTGGCCGTCTCGTTGCGCCTGTGCGTCCTGTGCTTGCGCCGGTGGTGGTGGCGGCGGTGGTGGCGCTGCGTTGTTGGCAACACTGTTGAACTGAGGGGGTTCCTCAGATGCGTTTGCGGGGTCGATTCGTTGCGCCAAGATATGCGGTCGGTACACGGCAAACTGTCGACGGCTGCCCAATTCGGGGTTGCTTTGTGGCGGCGGTCGGTTTTCTGGTGGATTTTCTGGATTGTTCGAATAAAGAGCGAACATTTCCCGCACCGATGAAGGCGTGTATAGGCGTATCGTTTGCAAGCGCCTAAATCTGTTTCTAGCGGCGTTTCTTAGGCTCACAGCCTGCATGTGAGCTATTCGTATAAAATTAACGCGTTGATAAAATTCGTACATGCCCTCCGCTCGTGGCGGGTCCTGACTAGTGTTTTCTGGATGAAGCAAATTTGAAGGTCCCGGGATGGGATCTGTTTCTTGTGATCGGGGAGTGTTCGGTCTGTTCATATTAGGGCGACGTGGGAAACAACGGAGTGTCGGAATCCTATATGTCGACATCGGGGGACCTGTTCTTTTCTTATTTAGCGGATGAACGGAAGGATTTGTTCTGTGTAGGGCTTTTAATCGTTTGCTTTCTATGTAAAGTTCTCTTCTACTCAACGCTGTTGCAGAATTATTTCTATTAGCAGCGGCTATCTGCACTGCAAGTCTGTTGCTCCATCTCGATGATCTGTAGTTCTGTGACGGTAGTCTTGTCTGGTCTTGTTGGTTATTCGGTGTTTCAGACTTAACTACTGAGGATGATGCTTTTGTGGCGTCTCGAGACTCTTGTTCACGCGTTTGTTCTTTTATTGTTTGTGTGTTGTCTACAACTTCTGTATTCGAAACAACATTTTCGGCCACTTGGGTATCGTCATGGTCATCTACGTTCACGGGATTTGCGTCATCTTCGTTTTGTATGTGAACGACATCCATTGGGTCCGTGCGCTGCGATGGTGGTGTTGGGCCGTTACCAGTACGTCCGCTATTTCTATTCGTCATCACCATAAACCACGAAAGTACCAAAGCTTTCTTGAGAGTTCGAAGCATGATGATGATTAATTGACTCAGACCTCGCTCTTCCAAGCACATCATCATCATATTGAACATCACAGACAATACTTGCATCGCTCGCATACGTAACTCGTGTTTGGTAGCGCTAATTTCTATCGCTCGGGTAAATTCTCGTCTTGATCTATTTGAATATCTTTGCGCTAAACGATTTGTTGCGATATTACGCGAACGTCGTCTGCGTTCATCCTCAGGTTGCCACCTGTAGCCCGGCTGAACTCGTCTTCGGGCCGTGGTCACCCGACCTCCCGGATGTTGCGATCTTGTCTGTGTATTTCGCCCCGCCCGAGTTTGTACTTCTTCTCTCGCGTTAGTAGAATTCGAAGGGTCCTGCGCTACACCGCGATTCGGTGAACTCATATCAACGTTTGACGAGTGATCCGTTCTTTCACCATTTCTGTCGCTATCCATACTTCGCCTCAAGTTTCTGTTTGGAGGGCGTGAAATAGGTTCTGCGATATCTGCTAACATCATACATCTCTCCAAAAGAGATCTAGTGTAATAACCCGGGGAGTCTTGTCTTCCGATATCTCGTTGCAACGCAAGAATACGACGGCGCAAGTTTTCCCACAAGTTGCGAAGTTCGCGCATAGAAATACGATTTCCGCGATACCATAAATTCGCCAGATGCACTGTGTGTTTCTGCAACGCGGCCACCCCGTTCCTTACTTTACGATAGGCCTCTTCCGACGACACCGAGGATCCGCGCGTCCAAAACTCATCTCTACTCGTTGAAGGTCGACTGAAAGGTGGCGACGGATTGGTTCTGGAGCTTGATGGTTGAGGATCAACTTCGGATGGACCCGGTTCTGAAGCTGCGGGAGTCGGTTCCGGAACTACACGAGCCACGTCTTCGTCGTCTCGACCACGCACGCGGAATCTATCATCGGAACGAGTGGGGTCGAGTCCTTCGTTATCGCGAGGTGCGTTCTCGTTTCGATCGGTCAAGATATCGAACATTAAACGGTCGGTCGGGAGGTTCGTCAACAACGAAGCCGCCGACTGAGCGGCCGCGTCGACGGAATCTCTGAAACCAGTGCTGCGAGCGCGAAGAGCATCCGGCTCCAGAGAACGATCACTGTCCGAGTCGGAACTGGAAGAGAGAAGTTCTCGACGCCAGCCAACACTTAGCAGACGGGGCCGGGGCCGCGGTCGGCGATCTACGGGCGAGCCTTCGTCAGAGTGAGCGCGACGTCGTCGCTCCCGTTCGCTGGCAGATACCATCGACAACGACATGTCCGTAATCAAATTTAAAAGCCTCGTTCCGGAATCGCGCAAGATGTCCCGAATCAGATCCAAGCTCTCGTTGAGGGCCTCCGCGTCCAGGGGTGGTACGGGACTCATTTGCGTCGAAGAATTAGTCATAGTAGGTCTGCGTGGTGCGGTAGTATCCTGCGTTTCTTCGTTTGCGGAAGAATTCGTAATATTTCGAGGAGAGGGTGTAGGAGTGCTCTCGGTGGAAGTCGGCGAGTCGCCCCATAGCGAGATCCGCCCGCGTCGTATCGGCGAGAAATTCCGTCTGTGCGAGATTAATACTCGGCCAGCCGTGGAACTCATTCTCGACGAGGTAAAGATGCTGGTGCGCGACGCGTTCGCCGGGTCGTTGTCGCCAGATGTGGTCATTTCACCGAAGTTGACTCGGGCCGATCGCGAGATGCCTCCGGGTGACGAAAAGGGGTTGGGTAATAATCTTGTAGAGCGCTCGTTCGGGTCGGATGGTCTAAATGTTCTGCCGGTTTCATTTAACGGTTGGAAAGCTGAAGAACGGGACCCAAATGGAGAACGCTCAGAAACTGAATCTTGATTCCTGCAGATGTTAAAGACCATTATCGTGAAGTATACGTATTTGTTCGTCAGACTAACTCATACATGTTTATGCATGTTAGTAACTCATACTTGTATTTGACACCTAAAAACGTCACAGATAACTGACAAAGTTCACACAAGCAAGTGAATTTACCTTTCGTTTAGGTATATACTTATATAGCTAGCTATATGTTGTAGTTACATAGCTTTATGTAATTTAGTTTTTTTCTTCTTGACATAGGTAAATATATTCTCTAAGCTGTTTTTTTTCTTTTTATGATAAATAAATTCTCCAAGCTGTTTTTTTTTCTTTTTCCGAAAAACAAACTGTTTCGTAAGCCGAAATAAAAGCAATGTTTGATACAACTGATCTCAAAGGTCGAAGGGGTGAGCAATATGTTACCTAGTCCCTAAAAAGTTAAGAAAAAAAGGCCGAGTTAAAACTGAGTCGTTTAGTTTCATCCCCGTATAAACAATAACATAATTTCCTGATTTAGCTGGTGCAATGTAGATTTTTTATTTCAGGATATTTAACCACCAGGGCGGCGCCACAAGAGATTGGGTTGATATTGACACTTCTGATAAATCTCTTTGGATCTAAAGGATATTTTGTCGAATTTTTGTTGCCATTGTAAACGAGTTTATGACAATGGAGATCTTATGCCTAACATTCTGATAAGAAAAAGTATGGAACATATCATCAGACTCGCGAAACATCACGGCGTATTGTTAATTTCGAAGCCAAGCCAAATGGTGTGGAAAAAATATTTCTGGTAACGCAAGGTAGATGAAGACAGCGGTTTTTATTTTATTAATAATAGCATTCAGTGAATACCAACTAAACCATTTAGATAAGCTAGCACGCTAACAGATTAAAGCAACGCGACATAGAGATTTTAATCAATGATAACATAAAAAATTGGCAGGATCGTGTTAAGTGCAAGTCAATAGTTTTTGTTAGTCTGATTCAATATCTGGATCTAGACGCCTATACAATTTCCGATCTATGGTTAATAGCGTTTATAGCTATATCACACATTTACCTTGATGGATCACTGTCAAACGTTAAAGCATCTAAATTGAGTAAGCGACTACTGTTTTCTCCATCCCCGCTTTCACCACTGTCTGGACGTCTCGTTCCGCTGGTACTGGCCCCTAAAGCGAAAGAAATGAATCAAACTGGTATTCAATTCCAACTATGAAATTGTTTTATGAGCAACAACCGAAAAAATGATAAAAATGCCATATCAAATCCTTTTACAAAAGAGATTCATATTATACTAGCTTTTGCCCGCGACTTCGTCCGCGTGGAATAATTAATTTGGCATAACGCAAAATTTTCACCGCCTCTTCATTTACGTAGAAAGTGAAAATATTTTTGAATAATAGAATGTTAAGGAACTATTTGAGGTACCAAAATCACGCTTTTTAACAGACTTCAAAAGAGGAAGTTATCAATTCGACCATAATTTTTTATCTATGTATGTTCACTGATTTCTCGAGAATGCTTGAACCGATTCTGATAAAAAAAATTTTTTTTTTTTGAAACGGTAGACGAATGGTCCTTTAATCATCAAGATCTGATGATATATATGATATATAGACATATGCAGTCGCGGACTTTAATTTTTTTTAAACGGGACAATTTTGTCATACATTAATTTAGCGAAACTTTAACCGTTTCCGCAGCACACGCAGCGGAATTCGATTTTGAAATATTCTTTATTGGTGCTCTGCTTGCATTGGTCTTAGCGTGATGTTATATAGCCTATAGCCTTCCTTAATAAGTGAGCTATCTGATACTGAATTTTTCAAATCGGACTAGTAGTTCCTGAGATTGGCGCGTTCAAACAAACAAACAAACTCTTCAGCTTTATAATATTAGTATAGATTTTAAAATTAGACTCAATTAAAGGAGTACTTAAAGGTCAGCTGTATTTAAAATTATTTTAGATACGTCTTCATGAGACACTGGTGTGCTGAGAGTTTTTTTTAACAATGTTTAAAACTGTAGTACATACTTGCTTCCGTAATACAACACGATACATGTTTAATTTACTAAGGATTATTTCTTATTAATTTTGAATGAAATCGATTTTTGTTTATTGTAGATTTGTGCCTTACCATCCTCAGTGTTCGTTGTAACTGTAGACGGTCGTGCAGGTCTGCTCCAGCCGGACGTTCCAGGGGATGTATCGGTTTCCATAGGATCAGTTCCTCGATCAATCTAGAAAGTCATAGATCCAGAGGTGGTTAGTAGGAGATAAATACTTAAAACAATGTTAGGAATATGTAGTGTTACTATCCATTATTATACTTAGAATTAATTACGCTTATATGTACTTCACTTATAAACTACGATAGAAAATTGGTGATACGAAATCCATTTAATACCATATAAATGGATACAGTTTGATTTGTTAAAACGGAAATGAAAACCATGTTTATGTATTAAGAAAAGTGATAGTACAAATCAATAAGATTCTAGATAGGGGAGTTCTGGATTGGATTATTTATTTATTATATTAATGTTTTTGAAGATACACATACCGTATTTGGAGTTGATTGAGAAGAATTGGAAAGCCGATGCCGTACCATGAAAAGCCTTTGATAATTCCTTACTAGACTGTCATATCTTTGTACCAGGTTCTGGTATGAATTTACAATCATGTCTTGTGCTGAACCAGCATTGTCCGTTGTGGGATTGATCCCAAGCGGGTTTTCATTGGCATTGCCTGTGGCGTTCCGTCTATTAGAACTGCTATTTTGTGTGTTAGAAGTGCCTGTTGTCGGACTTTGCTGCAGCAATGAAGTACTAGACATACTCGGACAACCCGATACAGATATTCCAGTTATTAATTTGTAACCAAGAGCATCGAACGCAACATATCTGGAATGTCAAAACTATATGTTGTATATGTAATTTAGTTAAAAGTTCAAAGAAATTATCTTTTATTTTTCTTTATCCTTACAGTTGGTATAAAAAATGCATACGTACCTCACTTTTTCATTTATATTATTAGTGGTAACTTTGGTGAATGGTGCTGGATGACTCCAATCCCAAAAGTATAGTTCATTGTAAGTAGCAATTACTAGTAATTGTTCACGAGGGTGAAATGCAATAGAAGCTATCACTGTTTCATAGCGAACATTCCACACTTCACTTCCACCCTGTAATGTTATCAGTTCACTATATTTTCTTTTAAAACTCTACAGTAGTTTGTAATCGAATTTGTAATGTATTTTTTGTCTTTTGATAATAGTCTTTAATGAAGATTTATTGGATTTTAATTTATTGATACCATTTATAATGCTGATAAATTCTGTAATTTGTTTGTTTGGAAGCAACTGGGATGTGAAAGATTTTTTTCTTAATGTCAACAACTAAACTGAGGAAAAAAATCAGTGATTACAGTCTAATTTCAATCATAGGGTGAAGCCTGGTAAATTTGATTTCTGATTATTTTATGAGTTGTTTCAGTGCTGTTTACACAAAAGTTTCTTTCCTATTAAGGAAATTTATTGTTATATTAAACTTACACTTCCCATATCCCAAACTCTTACTTGACCACCAAGACACCCAGAGCCTATAAGCTGTGTATGTGACGGGTGAAATGCTATACACCATGGTGTTCTTGGATGTCCCTCTAGAATCTTAAGGTGTTTTCCACTAGCCAAATCAGACACATACACATTATGATTGCCATGCGTTGATGCAACTTTTGTCCTGTAATTCAAACAAACGATTTTCTTCAATTTATTTTCTTATTTCTGTGTATGCAATAGATTAGAGAACTGTTTGAGGTTGTTTTGTCATATATTTTTATCATTGTATTGAGCATCACAGTGCAGAGTATCTTACACCACAGTACTGAAGCAAATGTAAATTCGTCAAGTTCATTTCAATGTATTTTTGTCTTAAGGGTGATGTCTATTCTATGGAATAATTTTAAACAGAGTCCTCAGTGAAGGCATCCAGTCACCATCAAGTGTTCTAAAAGCAACTGCTTATGGCCTACACATTTCATGGCAGAAAAGTATAAGTTTGTTACTCACCCATCAGGACTGAAAACCATCAAAAAAGTTGACCTTGGATATCCTGGTAGGTCGCAGCTCTATAATGTTCAAACAGTAAATATAAAAAAAATTACAAAAATAGTTTTCTCTAATATTTTACTAGGTACAAAATCAAACTTTTATTCTTTTATTATATTATATCTAGAATCTATTGTAAAAGCCATCAACCATCTTGAAATATGAGGTCAAAATTTCAACAGAAATGGAATAATAGCTAGTGCTTCTTTGAAAATGGGATGCATAATGATAGCTTTATGTCAAATATCAGCTGGATCATCATAACTTTTGTAAACTCACGACATACCACTAGTAGTAGTGGTAATATAGCAGTGGTGGAAGATATTTGTTAAGAAAAACAATATACTACTACTACTACTATTGGTGTTTGGTGAGGAAATATCTGAGGATTTGACCAGCAAATAATAGAAAACACTACTTTTAAATTCTCTGGCTATTGTTAACTTTTGATTATTTGGCAACTTATTGACAAACAAAATAACCTTACTCTAATTTTCAGTGGTTTCTGAACTAAAATATCTTCAGCAGCATTTTCTAGGACTGTTTTGCTTGCAGGGTAGTGTGGTGGATTCGCTCCGAGCTCTCGCCATTGCCAACTACGAGAAACATTGCCGACAACTGGAGTTTCTTCCACGGGATCATGCTTTATGCTGAGCCATTCATTATCAATCACTGGGTCCATTGTCCTAATGATAAATAAATGAAGTGAGGAGTCAGGTTAATTAAGGTCAAGGTTAAATAGTATTTATGTCAAGTCATTGAACTTACCATACAATTAAGGACTCGTGTTGTGCATTGAGATTTTAACCCAAACGCAGACGTGTATCATTAATTTAGGTTAAAACAAAACGAACAGAGAAATTATATTCCTAAAACGCATTTTTGTTAAAACATTTATTGTCACAACACATAGTAGTTTTATAGCTTATGTAATCCTGTTATTCACTTTCAGTTTTTGAATATTGACGTTAAGTTTACTGAAAAAGAATTACATAGGATTTTATCTTCACTGCTATATGACTACCTACTTGTTATGACCGGGACGACTGCGTGCCATATTGGAATGTCATTTTTTTTGTATAATTGTTCACTTTAGTAGTTTGACTTGAAAATTAAGTTTTTTGGCTATATTTCATCATTGAATCCAACCTAATCAACGGTAGTACGGTACTTAGAAAACTAAAGATCCACATAAATTGTTTTTTTGTCGTGTTTAACAATGTCAAATACACTTTACCTGTGTCATATTAAAAAAAAATAGTTGTCATTAATTAGAGTATAGTACTAACTGATTTTAAATTATTTTTATGTTTATTTCGAACAATTTAACAACGTTATTTGTTTTTACGACTTAAAACTAACAACAGAATCATCCAATAGCGCCAGCTGCGAACTGTCAAATTGAATTAAAGACAGATAAACAAAGAACATAGATAATAAATATTGCAAAGTACTAGAAACTGAAATAAAAACTGCTATAGTTCTACCAGGATCTGATGGCAAAAAGGGAAAAAAGAAATTGACGCTAGCAATACTGGGGAAATTGGAGTAAAACGTTTTGATACTTTTTTCCTTATAGCGGCTGATTCTGTGTGTGATACATGCAAATATAAAAAATTATCCAATGATTAAGGATAATTGTTGAGAATCTTACTGTGGCGTATATGAGGTTCGAAATTTAGATGAAAACTCCAATTACTCTGTTCATGAATTAATTAATTAATTATAGGCTATCAGAACTTGAAAATGGTTCCAAATACTGCACATCCATAAAAAAGTCTTCATCGGAAGAGGAAGACGAGGAAGACGTAGTAGACAGTATTTATGATATATATAATATATAAATATAAATATTTACTAACAATCACGCCACGTTAACTGGTCCCGTGCTAAGTTCGTAAAGAACTTGTGTTACAAGCACCAGATAACGGAAATAAATATAATATTTTTATTATACACATACATATATTTAATATACACCCATAACCCTGGAAAGACATTTATATTTATCATACAAATATCTTCCCTTGGCGGGATTCGAACCCGCGACCCCCTTGTGTAGTGACCATGTCACTTACCACTACACCAGACGGTCGTTTAATATATATATATATATGTATATACAGGGTGTCCCAAAAAGAATGGATAATCCTTGAACCCCGCACGGGACAGCTCTCCAGCGCTCAGAAAAAAATATCTAAAAAAAAGAATTCCAAGTGATACCCAAAATATGATTTTTTTTAGAAAAATGTTTTTCTAACGTTATTTTTACGTTATTTTAACGTTATTTTTACTTTACTTCACATTCATGTGCACAACGGCCACAAAGTTATGAAATTTGTGGCGTTTTTGGTGTCATCTTGTTCCTGATAGACTATACTACTAGAAATACATTAAATAATATAAGTATCTATGATACTTTTTTCAAAAACAAAATAAGAACTTTAATTTTTAACCTGAAATTTGATACCAAAATAATTTTGGCGTNTTGTGAACTGTACTGTGGCGCGCAAGCACCTAAATATCGTAGGAATTGTAAGTACCTACAAGTATGTAATTACAATAAAAGTTAAAGTATAATGAAATGACACAAATCACGATACGCTTTGACAACAAATTTAATGAAAAAAATCATCAATGTTCCACACTTTTAAAAATCAAACTAATGTACTAATGAGGTCTAATGATTAGGAATATATTTAAATAGGTATAACATTCATTCGATGAGCCGAGACGATAAGTTCCTACTTGTTTACGTTCTTCGTTTTAACTTTTAATAACTTTTTATTGTTGTGGGTAAAATGGAATGAAGTGATTGTATAATGGGCAGACAATTTATATACTTTTGCCGTGTTAGTAATTATTATAAACAACGAAATGAAGATATTATTATAGTAAATAAGTTTTAGAGTTAAATAATGGGCTGATTATAACCGATTAAAACCTACAAAAGGGCCAATTTTTTTTTTTTTTTTTGAGCCGTTTGTATATCAAAATTTGGGTGGGTCTATGGAGGGCAATGGATTGTATCCAAAGGATTTAGGGTTCAAATCTCGAAGGACCAGAAAATGGTGACGCAGGTGAGCGTCACCTTAAACGTGAGCTGATGAGCTGAAAGGGAGCACATGAACTCTGCGGAGAATGAGCGGATACGAAAGGGTAGGTAGGAAAACGGGACTTACTTGGAGGCTGATGCTGGCACTATCACGGTCGTAGTGGTGTTTCTTTGCGATGGGTGGCACATACACCTTTTCACCGGTTCACACTCAACCTTTTACTTAGTATATAACGAAGGGCGCGCGCGCACAATTTACTCAATATCGAACGAGCGTATCTCCGCATGCCGTCACGTACCGCACTGTTCTGAGAGGTGCGGGGTGCGTACGGGCGACGGCACCCCAGTTGAGCCGAACATTTTCAAACGTCGCGCTGTCGCGCGAACAATATTCATTTTCATAAAGTTACCTTGACTCGAAATATGAGAGTCTTACCAAATGAAATAGAATGTGTAGAATTTTTGAAAAAAATAAGTTACGATGAAGCCCCACAATTCCCTCAGTTTGGTGAAAATTTATTCGAAATACCTCAACAATTAATAGGAGATAAAAATAATATAATTGTTGAGGTGTATGGAAATATTCCCGAAATCATACTCTGAAAATATATTGAACTCAGTTATTTTAGCACCTACAAACGATGACTGTACTTTGATTAATACTGATATACTTAATCAAATTCCTGGAGAACAGCGAACATATCATAGTTATGATAAAATAGTTTGTGATAATGACAGTGCCATCAATAACTATCCGGTAGAGTTTTTAAATTCTTTGACTATAAGTGGCTTACCACCACATAAGTTAATATTGAAAGTTAATTTGCATCGTTTTGCTGATCAGAAACTTAAATACAAAAGAAGCATTAGTCAATGGAACAAGAATGCGCATCGAAATGCAATTGATTGCGAAGTTTTGACTGGTACCGCACGCAGTAAGAAAATTTTGATTCCACGTATAAATTTAACATACTCCGGAACTATTTCACCATTTCGCTTCCAAAGAACTCAATTTCCTATAATACCTGCATTCGCGATGACAATAAATAAGTCTCAAGAACAAACAGTCGATAAAATTGGAATCTTATTGAATCGGCCAGTTTTTACACATGGGCAATTTTATGTTGCAGCAAGTAGAGTTCGATCATTCGACGGTTTGAGATTTTATATTTCCGAATATAACGGTCAAGGACATTTAGCAAATGACCAAAGAGTTTTTACAAAAAACATCGTTTACAGAGAAGTTTTGTTTGTTAATTAAATTAACGACATAATATTAAGCACCTATATGTGTATGTCGAGCTCAATGGAAAGCATTTGTTTATCGCATGCGTTTTGTTACAATAAAAAATATATTTAAAAACGGTTTTCTTTATTTTAATAAATTATTGGGTTTTAAAATGTAGGTTCATAAAATTTGCTTGAAAAAAATAGGCAACTTAAGAGTGTAGCCTTGGCGAAATCTGTGATTATATAAGTGTAATATTTGACAATAGAACCTTAATAATGTTCAAACTTGAAATTTAAATTAATTATGGTTGAATTTCGACCACTGGGCGACCACTAGTTTACAATAATCACAGAACCAAGCAAGAACCAAGGAAACAAGTAAATTATACCATCAAGCCTTTGCAGATGATATTGCACTGACATTCAGTGGGGATGGCATGTATGAGCTAGAGGCAATAGCGAACGAGACTCTGGGCCGTGTGCACCGCTGTGGTGTATTATATAAATTAAAGTTCGCCCCCCACCAAATCCAAGTCATGCTAGTCACAAGAAGGCTAGGGGGGTGTAAGAGGCCCGGCTTTACAAATGAACGGGGCAGCGCTTACCCTGTTTAAACAAATTAAATTACTGCGGGTAGCGGTGGATAACAAACTGAGTTTCGGACCCCATGTAACAGGTATGCCACAAAACAATTAAAATCTACAAACAAATAGCAAGAGCGACAAAAGTTACATGGGTCTGAATAGTGATATATTGAAGATGATATTTATAACTGTTATCGAACCTATTATGCTATATGGGGCGGGCGTATGGTGAACAGCAGCTCAGAAAGTGGGTGTGCGTTATCACGCACATTCACGCAAGCTCAGAGCACTTCAGAGACAATTTGCCATCAAAATATCACGGGCATATCGCATAGTTTCAGTTTTAGTGCAAACCCTAGCAATAAAAGGCTTGTTGACTATCGATCTCAGAATACAGGAGGCAAAGCTATAATATGAGATCAAGAGAGGCAAACCACTGACCCAGGAACTAGAGGCCGAATTGGAAACCCACAAGTCTCATATTATAATACAGACCATCCAGACCAATAAACACTAGTGTATTATGGATCGCTATCGATTTGACATAGATGACCTCAAGAAGGAAACATTACAACTAAAAAACAAATAACAATGACTCTATAAAATTACATTCAGAAACTAACCAAGAAAAACAACAATTTATTTTAAAGCAACCAAAGAAGAAAAAATCGCGGCATATTAGAACGCCATCACCTTTCTCTGCAAAAGGTAACTTCAGCTGTTTTGAGGCCTCGAACTACATATGACAACACTACAATCGAACCCAACAAATTGTCGATTGATCAAGGTGATACAACGCTTTGCACACTGACGACAGAGGGCGCGACTACACAAAATTCCACTAAATTACTTCAGATGAACACAGATGGCGCATTTCGAATTCGGAGCCAAGGATCAAACTAGGATTAAAGTCAAAGAAAGAAATTCGCATTTACTACGACAAAATCTGTACAAAGAAGAAAAATGTATATTGTCAGTTTTTTTTTTTATTGCTTAGATGGATGGACGAGCTCACAGCACACCTGATGTTAAGTGGTTACTAGAGCCTATAGACATCTATAACGTAAATGCGCCACCCACCTCGAGATATAAGTTCTAAGGTCTCAGTATAGTTACAACGGCTACCCCACCCTTCGAACCGAAACGCATTACTGCTTCACGGCGGAAATAGGCGGGGTAGTGATACCTATCCTTGCGGACTCCCAAGAGGTAGTAATTTATGCTTTCAGAATTGGAAAACAATGACCCTAACACCTGCTTAAGTTGCTCAGGCTGTGTTACTTCGAAATCGAACGCAGCGAGAAATTGCTGAAACTTTAAATGTACCGCGTATAACTCTCAGGTATGCCTTAACAAGGTACGACCTGACCGGTCTATACACAAGGAGACCAGGTAGTGGCGGTATTAGGTGTACATCAGTGCGAGATGACCGGTTTATCACTCTCGCAATTTTGCGAAATCGGTTCCTTACTGCAGTCGAAATTCGGCAGCGGATTCATCGGGGGCGAAGATTTCT